TATGGATTATGTATTTGGTCTTTCAAGGATTGAAAAAAATTGGATGAATGATAAATATATAATAATTTTTGTTAATGAATTATAATAGAAATGAATTGGAAAATTATATATTCAGACCTCATGTTAGTTATCTACATAATGAATATAAAAAAAAAACCTATTACTGGGAATAAATAAAATTGAGTAAAAGAGCTATTATGATTCTGATTTTGACATATTTTGAAACCAAAATACATTTGAAAGTATCATTAATAGGGTTGAGCCTAATTATTTACCAACTATTAGCGATTAACAAAAAGCCCTTCATTATCACAAAATTCAATAAGCTTGACTTATCGTCAGGCTAAATATGTTCAATATCAATATCCTTATCCGCTATCAAATATGAGAGCGAGCAGCTAAATAATCTAGGGATATCTCTCGCATTCTAAACCTGTTTAATTGTACTTTTACTTATGATAACTTTTCCATTTATTGAAAGTATAGTAAAAATATATTACAAAAAATATATGTTGGTTATCATGAAAATCTTTAAATTCAATTTTCAAATTCATGAAATTTACAAATTTATCATATCAACTTGAAGTTAAAATAGATGAAAAATACAAAAAAGAATTGGGGATTAAAGATTATTTCTTAAAATTAAGAAAATTCCTTTTGACAGTTTCTAAAATATAAATAAAAAATAGACCGTAATTATTCAAATATATTTAGTTCTTTTCAAACTATTATTTCAATTCACAATTATTAGCATAAATTATTAACTCAAGATATGCAAAGCTAGTCAATATTATTAACTGGATAAAGATCGGATTGAAATTTTATTTTTTTTAAACAAATAATAAAATCAATTCTATTATAAGAATAGATGGCTAGATTCATCAAAAATAAAAATAAAATTCATACATCAAAGGTTTTCAATTGTTTGAATTTACCTTACAACAAACTTCCTTATTTGAGATTTATTATATTTATTATAGTTACATATTTATTCATCATTAATTTTAGAAATTTATACAAAAACAAGGTTTACTGGTTAATGTTGAAATTTCAACTCATTTTATGAAATAATTACCTCTCTAATTATAAAGTCATTTAAATATCAAGTTTGAAAGTTATGACCTATTGATTTATACAAAGATCCAAGAAATTAGTAATTGCAAATATTTTAGTGGTATTGTAGAAGTTGAGGAGTGGTTATCAGAAATGCATGCATTTTCTCAGAGCTAAAAAATCAAGTAAAACATTGGAGAAATTTCTATAAAGATTTAGATAAAAAACAAGAAATTGGGTCTTTCTAAGTAATGTAACTATTTGAAAATACCTCCAATAATTAGTTAGTCCTCAAACTTCTCTAAAAATAATAATAATGCTACTATCTATTTTGAGATAAAAAGAAAATTATACTTGCAGCCTAAGGTTAAGGTGGAAAAAAATTTTAGTTGATGTGTATATCACATTATGTGGTCTCGTTGCTCAAGTCTGGTGCTTGGTAATGCTTATAGACCTTAAAATCCTTCAAACCTTACGGGAAGATACACGAAGTCGAGCTACTTTCATTTGTTCAATAAAACAGAAGGTGATGGATACCCACTCTTTGCTCTAAACTTATCTCATAATTAAAAAGTTGCAAATCAATATTATATGGCCCTCAGTTATTTTTCTCCTTTAAAAAGGTGTCATTAGCTTTTCAGAGGGAAACATTACTGGCGTCGTAAAATATGATGTTGACATTCGATCACTTAATTAAGGAGATGATCTCAAAATTCAATTAATATTTTTATTTAAACCAATTATATCGGTTGTGAGTTAATTAAACTTTATTTTAATTTGATATTAATTATTATTTTTAGATCTTATCAACTAGACCTAAATATATGTGAATATGTTTAATCAAATGCTAAGTTTAGCACAATTAAAAATAATAAAATCCACTTCCCTACCCCTTCTTATAATTTCAACATTTTTTTCAACTTCAATCAAATAAAATAATAATTTCAAAGAAAACAATTCTTATAATCCAATCAATTTACAAAAAATTCTGACCTATTTATTTGAATTCATTTTATTTATTCATCCTTATTGATTTAAAAGAAATAACGAAGATTTTCCTTTAATCAGCTTGACTAATTAAATTTAAGAATTTACATATTTTCTTTTTCCCCCGTTTAATATCTCTACTTAATTTCATTGTGCTCATTTTCCGCCCTCTATGGAGCGGATACACTGCCAAACCTTAATAACAGACACATCCCCTATCTCGCATCCCTTTCTCAATAACCAGTCTCCCCGCACCCTTCCGCCCATTTCTTGACTATATAAATTTCCAACCTCTCATCCATATTATCACT